TTTTCTTCGTATGTAGGTATGTATGTGTGTGTGTGTGTGCTTGTGTCCAAGCATTAAGCTCGCGCACGACTCTCTATCGGCACTTAAGCAATTCCGTAATGTACTTGCGCTCTAATTTGGCATTGTTTCTGCTCCTCTTAAGAAACAAATTATTTGAAATATACTAGACTTTGGTTCATAGCTGCTGAATAAGTTTCAATAGCTTCCGAACTAAAATGGCAATATCTATGATATTTTTTATTCTCCAAATATATAGAGAAGAATGTACATATATATGTATGTGTGTACATACATGCATACGTAATACTATATGCATACATATAATATTTTACAGTACGGTTCAGCCCGAAATCTTTCTAGCCAGGCGATGAAGACGGCTTCCTACATTAATCAAACTTTGGTATTATTATAAGGTATCTTTTAATATCTTTTAGTCAAATCTTTTTTGTAGTTATCAGTTAACTAAATCGATATCAGTGGTTTTGAAAAATGAAAAAATTGGAATATTTATAAGATACATATTTGTTTTTTTGAGGGAACTCATTCCCATCATTTACAAATGTAAAGTTCTGGGCAGCTGGACTTGAACGTGGACGTACTAGATTAGAAGATGAGAGACATCCGGGAAGCCCAAAAACTGTAACTCCAGACAAAAATGGGTCATGAGAAAGCCCTCCGCACGTTAGGAGCCGTGTTTGCTCACCTGCTCCTATGCATTAGCAGTTACATTCGCAAAACTTCATGCAAGGGACTTATTTTTAAATTTTCACTTGGACAGAAATCTTCATCAAATAAGAAGGCTATTACCTTCGTAAGCAACTAGTTTGAGAAGCGGATGGTGAATACTTTCTGCAGTGGTTGAAGAGCTTTGAAGAAGACTACGTCGAAAAATAAAAAATTGTATTTTTTTAGAACTGTTGTATTATAATCAGGCTAGACATTGTAGAAATACCTTAATTGGCAAGATATAGTTGGAGAACTGTGTCTGACAGTCAGGCTAGACATTGTAGAAATACCTTAATTGGCAAGTTATAGTTGGAGAACTGTGTCTGACAGTGATGTAACCACCGGTATGATGGTAGAATACCAGGACGTATGGTCGACAATTATGATAGATAGACTGTTCGGAGAGTGACTTTTGAAATTTAAAGTACTTTTAAATAGACCTGTTTGAAATCGTGTTTCACTCCAGACATTTGCTTAAATGCAATGAATGAAACAGTGCAAGCACTTTGTCAGGGAGTTATCCATGCCCGATTGGACTAAGTTTAACAACTCGAATGGCAGAGTGTAAAGTTTTTCGTTATACTACCAAGGTTTGCTAATTACTTTAATTAAGTCGATATTTTTTCCCTCCAGTATGTTCCTTATTGAACGAGTTGAAATTGTCTGCCTGTTGGTGGCTTCGGGTTTTCTTTTTTGGCGACTGTGGCAATTAGTTGCATAATTTTGCTCGGTTTCCCACTTCAACAATTTGTGGCGTTTTAGTTGCTGTTAATATTGATGATAAGTATGTTACCATCGCTATTTAACATCCACTAACCATCAATACAAAAACTGGTTTGGTTCCGCTTTCGAAAACCACTCTCTACACCCCTCCGTATGGAATTCTTCGCCTTGAAAATTTTGTTTTATAAAAATAACCATACAACACAGCACGCACACGTTGCTATCTGATACATAACGTCTTTTTTACCACAAATTAATTATACATGTATACCTACTATACTGTAACAATAACTTCGTTAATTTGCAAATTTTCTCTTTTCTGTCGCGTTTAAGTTGAATATCGATAGATTTCTTTGCTTGAATATGCTTTCGTTATTTATCCACACAGCTTTAGCAACGTCCATAATTATTGATAATTGGTAAGTTGGGGAAAGTTCTCAGCTTGTTGTTTTTATTGTCTTTATGAGAAGTTCTTTTAACCCTTTGGAAACATGATTTGAAAGGTCATGCAATTGTTGCAAGTTTTACTATCAAACCTATCAAACATCATGACCATTTCCTTATGATTTGTTGATGTACATGTAGATAGTATCTGTTTGGAAGTAGCGTTTAAATTATGCAGACCAGTTGCTTGCGTACTTGCAACACATTGTTGCAACTTCATCACTTGCGTTAATATGCAAATCTGTGACAGATGTTGTACCTTATTGCCAAGTTGCATATTTGCCATTAGACCCATGCGACTACATACTAGGAAATCATCTCATTTGCATACAATTATTGCGTTCTTCACTGGTGGCATCCACAAAAAGAACCCGCATCAACATAGAAGCAGAACCAACACACACACACACACACTCACACACACACACACAAAGAAGAAATAATGGCATGTACTTCAATTTCAATATTGATGCATTGTTATTTGCCACATAGCTCGCAGCTCGTGGTGGGTGCGCGTTTAATCAAGCTTAGATAACAGTGGTTGGGTTGTAAAGAAAATGACTACATTTATGTACGAGTATGTATAAAAAAAAGCTGACAATAAATGACAAATGCACGCAGGCGCGAGGAAAATAAAAAGTATATGAAATAGAATTTACGTCTTTGCATAGAAAAAATGCAAATGGTGAAATTTTAAACCCTTAAATGGGCTTTGATAGCTGGCCACCCGCACCCGCCCACCGCCCACCGCCTGCCCGCCCCCGACTCAGCCATGCACAGTCCCTGCCCATCTGCCAACTGGGCTGTAAGTAAGCGCTTTATACTTTTTTTTCTTCCTTGCTTGCTTCTCTGCTTCCGCCCATTTTTCCGTACTGAGTGGCGACGTGCTAGTTCATTTTTGTTGTTGTTGTTGTTTTAATTGTATTTAGTTACATCGGTAATTATTGATTTTTTCGCGAGCTGCTGCACGAAGCCAGTCAATTTTAAATGCAGCATAGCTTTGATCTCGGAGACCATTGTGAGCTATATATCAGTTTTGGTTTACATTGTTATATCTCCTAAGTTTAGCTTCCTTGAACAGCGTTCCATTTTCCTGCTCAATGCTTATGCATTTTGTATGTGGCTGCAACCGTCTTGTTCGAAGCCTGTTTTGGCCCCATTGGCTCATCGCTTAGCAATTATGTTGTTTTGCTTTGGTTCGGTACTGGATCTGGGCAAAATCATAGCTTCGTTATGCTGTCCTTATGTTGATGTTGTGGGTCTGCCATGTGCAAGGCGCTAGCGCAATAGTGATACGTCTGCAATTTAACTGTGTGTGTGTTTTATAATGAATACTCCTTCCGTTTTGTCTTTGGTGCTATTGAACATTTTATCAAGATTTATATTGGATTTTTCTTTTCTTACGCAACCTTTTTACATAAGGCAACGAGAACCAAACATCCAACCGACCAGCCAACCCATCCACCCACTCAAAACCGTTAGAGCGCGTGTCCAACTGCTTCAGGCGTCGTAGCTGCCTTTGCTGGTGCGGCGTAATTAAAAACAAGAAAGTCTGCGAATGGAAAAAATGTGCCAAGAAGCTGGCTTCCCAGCACACCCAACACACTCAGCGCACCCTGCACACCCTGCACAAAACCAAACCCCACACCACTGACAATTTATTTAAATTTCACTGCCGCGCAGCCGAACTCTTTTTTCCTTCCTTGTTATTTTTAATAAAGTACTGGGCGGGTGCCGCAAGGAAAGTGAAAAAAGACAAGCGGGCTAAAAAAAAAAAAGTTGCGTAAATTTGTTATGTACTTTTTTAACTTAAATAAATAAATAAGGGACAAGCAAGCAGGCGCATGGTCTTGGGATGGGTTGGTCCAACCATCGTGTTGATGACCAAAGCAAGTGGCAGAGCCAGTAGTAGCAGCAGCAACGACCACAATCCCGCAACCAACCCTTCGCACACACATACACACATACATGCTCATTCACTCACACACAGTCGAAGAAATCATGCATCCTTTCCTGACCCAAGCGCAACGGGCCGCCCCGCCTTGCGCTGTATTTCCGTATCCGGCGCCAGCCATTTGCATCTCCAGAAAAATTTTTCTTTCATTTATTCGGACATTCTTGTATTTTTGTTGTTGTAGTCATCGTGTCGAAAAAGAAAAGATTTTTTAAAACACACAAACTGGACTACAGTTAGCAGAGTGGGGTGGTGATGGTGGCCGTGGTGGTAGCCATGGCGGTGGCGGTGGCGGTGGCGATGGGGGTGGTGTAGAGCGTAAAACATGGTTTTCTTGCGGCCTGGGCATTTTTTCTTTGGCCAGAAAAGACGAAAGACACTGAAAAAACGGGTACACAAACTTCAACCTACTCAATTCTTGCCTTAATTTCTTTTTTGTTTCGCTGGCCAATAGACCAAAGTGTGCGAAGGAGCTTGAATGGGCATCCATCCGACCGCTCCGCTTGCATAAAAAGGCGGTAATAAGAATTTTTCTTCTGCTTCTGCTCAGCTGGAGCCTGAGTGTGTTTGTGTGTGTACGTGTGTGTGCGTCGAAGTGTTTTTTTTTTTTTTTTGTATTTTTAATTTAAAATGCGGAGCATGAAAAAATATAAAATGGCAAGCAGGCGGGCAGGCGTTGCAGAAGGAAAAGATCGAGCTTCAGCAACTTAAAAGAAAAATTTCTGAAGTAAATATTTGTCCGTCCAATTGCTGCATCGGCTGCCAACTGTATGGTCTGTGGTTGGGATGCTATGTGGGCGGTCGCTCGGATGGGTGGCTTGTGGCAAGTGTTGCTGGCTTGGCGAAGCCAACTGAAGCGACGCCATAATGACTACTGTCATTGCGTCAGAAAAACAAATTTCTGCCACCTAGCCGGCCAAGCAATGTCTGGGCTCTTTAGTGAGTGTACTGTAGTTATGTATTGCCAGAGTATACACTATATATATATGTATGTACATATATTACATATATATAAATGTATGTACGTGCAGTCAAAAAAGGGTGCGGTTCGTTCATTTTTGTGTGTCTGGCAATCAGCCGATTTTTTCTTTTCTTTACAATTACAAATCGATGATTGTCTCATATAAAACTTTTCTCCTTTGATTTCTTGCAGGGACTGCTGCGCACCGCCGAACAGTTGAAAATTAAAGGTCTCTGTGAGACAGCTGAGAATGCGGATGATTTGAATGACGCAGCCACTGCGACTATAACCGTATCAGAGAATATTCAGCAAACGGTTGTTGGTAATATTGTAAATACAACAATAGTACCGGGAGCGCCCTCACCCACAACTGAGCAGCAACAACAGTTACACGTGCAGCAGCAACAGCAACAACAACAACAATTGACCAACGCTGCGCTTCTATCACAACAGCACCTTGGAAGTAATCAAGCGTCGGGCCAACTCCTGAGTACAGCGGCCGGCACAAGTCTGCAGGCACAACAGCAGCAGACGCAAACGCAGCCAACGTCGCAGCAAGGTGTCCGAAAATCGCGTCTACGCAAGCGCTCCAAATCCCCCGATCTACAGCTGCAGGGCGGTGCAACACAACCACAGCCGGCGCATCACCATCATCCGCAAACTATACTCATACAGGGACAGAATCAAACGTCAATTGTTAGCCTGCAACAGACAGCTGACGGAAACTATATACCCGTCTCTTCTGGCGTAGGACAGGGTGAAGAGGAATCCGATTGCGATAAGCCGACAAAGATCTGCAAGACAGAAACTTCGGTCGCCTCGCCGGCATCCAACTCGTCCACATCGAATAATGCTGGTGGCGTGACTGGCGTGACAGCATCGGGCCAAGCTATTGTGACACAAATTGTAGTAGCGCGCGACGGAAAAGATAAAAATATGACTAGTTTAGGCATGGGCATGGTAAGTGTCGCGTCGGAGTCTTGTCTAGACAACTCCGGCGCTCAAATGAACTTCTCGTTCAATTTTGGTTAGAATGTTTTTGATAATTATTCCCTTTCTTAAATTTTCATTGCTGCGCAACAGAATGGCGGCCTGTTGGGCGTGCCTATGGGCTTTCTAGACTTCACACCCGAACCACCAGCACCATCGGCCACACCAGTTAACGTAACGGAACACGTCGATCTCTCCTGCAATCCAAGCACGGACACTCGTGATCTATCAAGTGAGTTATCGGTAGAGTAGTGTAGGAGTGTTGCGATAATTTCCTTCAACTTGATATTAATACGCTTTGTATCATATTTTATAGACCCCACCGAACCCCTGGATATCGACAATCACTTGGCTCAACACATTCACCGGCTCGATCAATCTCCTATGCATTCAATGGCGCATCACCACACCGGCGATGAAAGTAACTCGAATCTCGTGCAGCACATCAAGAGCGAGGTAATCGAAGCTAAGCATTTGGCCGCTGCTCAGCAACATGCGCATGCCCAAGCGCAGGCGCAGCATGCGCACCACCAGGCGCAGCAGGTACACCAAATGCACGCTCAGCAGCTGCTTGCGCAGAGTCAGGCACAGCAGCAACAGCAGCAGCAACACCACCAGCCACAATCCTCGGTGCACTCACAGCATGCACAACATGCTTCGCATGCCGAAATATCGGGCGGCACTGTTATGGAGATTGATCCGAGCCAAATTAAGCACGAGCCAGGCATGATTATAACGCCAGAGATTGTCAACATGATGTCCACAGCGCATATGGGTAGGTATTTAGATTCTTCATGTAGCTGATCAATCTTAGCTAATTGGCCCTTTAACGCTTTCCCAATTGCAGACATGTATAACTCCGATACGAGCGAGGACTCAATGATGATCGCCAACGGTTCGCCGCACGATCAAAATGAGCCGCATTATACTAATTTGGATCAGCAACACGTCGGCTTAGGCAGCAGCGGTGGTGCTGGTGCCGGTGCTGGTGGTGGTGGTGGTAGTGACAAAGGTCAGTTTAATGGTCCCAAAGCTTGGACACAAGATGATATGAATTCAGCTTTAGATGCATTAAAGAATCAAAACATGAGCCTGACGAAAGCATCTGCCATTTATGGCATCCCATCAACCACTCTATGGCAACGAGCTCATCGTTTGGGCATCGAAACGCCAAAGAAGGAAGGTGGCACCAAATCTTGGAATGAAGATGCATTACAAAATGCATTGGAAGCACTACGCTCTGGTCAGATATCGGCAAATAAAGCGTCAAAAGCCTTTGGTATCCCATCATCGACATTGTATAAGATTGCTCGTCGTGAAGGCATACGTCTGGCTGCGCCGTTCAATGCCGCTCCAACCACGTGGACACCCGAGGATTTGGAGCGTGCATTGGAGGCGATACGCGCCGGTAATACGTCTGTACAAAAAGCTAGTGCTGAATTCGGTATACCGACAGGTGAGTGCCCCTGTCAAACCAAAGTCCCTCCTTCGTCCTTCCCTCATCAAATACAAGTACGAGTACGTGCATTCAATATTCTTGTGCACTATGTTCATTGTTAACCGTTTGTTTCAAACCTTGCTCTTTCTGAATATCCTAGATGTTTTCCAATTTAATTCCATAATAGTAATATTATCAAAGTATTGCTATAACAATAGTCAACCGGCACTCATGCTATACTTCATTACTCTTCAAACTAGACTCGTTTTTGTTTTCAATTCTTCACGACTGTGTCTAAGCCACCTCCAAAGAAAAGCGCCATTAATAAAAACCAGTATGTGGTGCTAGATCGTTTATTGTGTATACTTGATATTTCTTAAATTATTCGCTTCTGACACAAAACCAATGAGAACTAGGATATCCTTTTACCTTTTGGGTACTTGTAAAGCAATATTTGTTGGTTGGTTGGTGCTCCGAAGATGTGCTTGTTGTGTAACATTTTGCTAATTGAATCTAGGGTTAGCAGTCTTATCGAATTGGAAAAGTTATATTTAAATGCGCTGATAACAATTTTTCAATTTTCACCTTTTATATATTTCCCGCGCATGCGTTTCATGATGAAAACTAAACTTTGAAGACTTAGATGTACTAGGTTCTTCTTTGCAGAAAACCTTCGTAAAGGTAGATAGTTCCCTTCGATCTATCTAACTTAACAGACATCTATAATCAAAGTAGAAAAAGTTATATGGCCACATTAATTGTAGCTCAGGACTTCAGTAGTCATCTGGGTTTAGTCGCATTTCTTTCCGAACATTGTTCTTGCTTTTGGTCCTGCTGACATTGAAAATCGACTCTTAGTCTCATCGTATTTATTTTTGTATCTACGTTGTAAACCTCATTGGGAAGTTGGCATTCACGGAGTAATTAATTGTCCTTATACAACAATTACTTTAAATAAAAAACAAAAATTTGCTAATTCAATTTCAAATCTAATGTCAAAGGAACACTTTATGGACGCTGCAAACGTGAGGGCATCGAATTGTCACGTTCGAATCCAACTCCTTGGTCTGAAGATGCCATGAACGAGGCATTGAATTCAGTGCGGTAAGAAATCAATTTAGAGAGCACAATTGTTCATCTATCGCATTTGATTTAGGGCTATTATTATTGTTAAAACGAATATTTTCTTTCAGTGTTGGCCAAATGTCTATCAATCAAGCGGCTATACACTACAACCTGCCTTACAGCTCGCTTTATGGGCGCTTCAAGCGCGGCAAATACGATGTGTCGAACCCTAGTGGCGTATCGCTGAATAACACATCGGGCAACACAACTGGCAGCATTGAGATTATCGAGCATAGTCAGGAGAATTCGGTAAGTAAACAATAGCAATCAGGCATAAAAACAATTAGTTCTCGGGTATTGGGTGAGACTTGAAAGATTTTATTACTTCCTGACAGTTCTGCAAACAAAGACCATTAGTTCATCGAATTGCCTTGAGATATTCGATAAGGAAATGATCTTTTGACTATTATATTAATCATTTGTGCATTCGGCCAGAATTTGCGGCTAAATGACACTTCAGACCTCTGTTTTATATAAAAAATGATTAGCCTTTTGTACGTTTAAACTATGAAGCAAAGACACGCTTGTTGGCCAGCGCCCACTAACAACATTTGATTTATTTATTCAAGTTGCATATGTTGCAGCAACAGTTTCCGTACAGTCCTTCGCCGCATCCACCGACACCTCAACATCACGGCACGCCTCAAGCGGCGTCAACGCCACAACACATGCAGCAACATGTTGTGCATATGCAACAGTCGCCGCATCCGCATGCCCATCAGCAACATATTCAACAACAGCAACAGGATGTGGTCACATCAAGCAGCCAGGTGCATGCTAGCCAACAGCAACAACAACAACAACAGCAGCAGCAGCAGCAACAACAACAACTTCAACAGATCTATCAGCACCATGGAACGCCGGAGCGAAGTTGAGAATCACTGCAGGCTGCGGCAATGTTGGGTGGCGGCGGTGGTGGCGGCAACACGGCAACAGGATCAACCACAGCATTTGCAAGCATATCGGGCATGGTGGGCGGCAATGCCACCGGAAGTGGCAGCAGCAGCACCAGCAAGCGAAAAAAATCAACTAAGCAAAAGCGTTGAGAAAACGCCACCGACGCTGTTGACACGTTCAACAGCACCACCAACGTCGTTGCCAGCAGCAGCTGCCAGACATCGAGGCAGCAACAGCAGCTGGACAACAAACCCCCCACTCCAGGCTTGGATAACATCAAGTTTAGATTTAACTCCAAGCATTGGAAACGTAAGCTTAGACAATTTCATCAGCTATTGTCAAAACAATAAGATTCTTAAGGTTATATACCAGATTAGTGTTACCGAAATCAATCAAAACAGAAACAACACAAAACTGGACATTAGTTACACAACATCAATGTGTATAAAATGTAAATACATAAAAATATGCTTTATCTACATCAACATTAAAGTAGCTACATAAATCGAAAGTCCCTTATTTTAGAAGTAAGCTACTTGTAAAAGAGTAATGAATTTTTCATCTAGATTTGGAAGTGAATTATTATATAGTTTAGTTGCCCAACATAAGAAGCATTGTTAAAAAGGAAGATTTCAATTTTTCGTTTTTTCGATTTTTCGACCGTGAACATGTAAAAACGTTATAATAATTAGGCAAAACGGCGTTCTATTATAATTTTGGTATACTTCTGTATCAGCTTTATTTCGCTTAGTGTGAGACTGAATGTGCAACTAGGAAACGTTAGCAAGCACAACAGGTGAGGTGAAGAACAAACATGCGAGACACATGAAAAATTGCTTCTTTTTCTGTTTTGAAAGGGTTTATGTTTATGTAATTAAACCCAATTAAAAAATATTGTCTTTTCAATCCACTCATTAAAAACTATTGACGGGCGGAATAGTTTTGTTTTAGTTTCATAAGAATAATGCGCGAAGCAATTGATGTTTTTTAATGAAGTTTAGAAAATTCATTAGTTTACAATTGAAGAAAAATTAAACGTAAAATTTATGCAGAAATGAAAATCAAATGAAATAATTGTATTTTTGATATAAAAACATAAATGTATAAATCGAATAAACTTGCTAATAACTTAAACACAAATTGATGTCATTTCTGAAATGCATTAAGAGATCCATTTCAAAATCAATAAAATTTCAATAAACACCATGCATATATAGATATGTAGGGAAATAAAATTGTAAACAGACACCCACATGCATATATGGTCAAGAATGAGTTATTTTTTAAGTTCACTGACATTTGGTTGGATTCATATTAATAACTGTGTATGTTATAAAGGGAAGATATGCATACCATTAACAAACCTGACATCATGTATATTAACTATATATACATATATACAAATATTGAGTAAAGAAGTTGTAAAGTTTTGTTGCGAAGTAACAGCAGAATAATAAACTCGTAAAATAGTTTTATTTTTGCAAAGTGCAAGGCTAGGTTTGCATATAGTATGACAAAATATATCTCAATAATTGGTTAAGAGAGTAGAAAATCTATAAAATAGAATGAGCCAGCCAGATTTTAATATAAATACTGCAAAATCTGTTAAACCATTTACTTTTATATAGAGAACACTTGTAAAGAAGAAACCTGTATAGCTTCCATTAGTTCTAAAGTAAGGACACTGTATATTTTTCAAAATTATATTTTGCTTCCGTTTCTGGTTTGGTAACACAAATTGTAAATATATCACATAACTATTAGTATTAAGATATAAATCAAGCATTGCAGAACTTGCTCTTAATTTATTCTATGCATAAATAAAAGCCCCATAGAGTTATCGTAGAACTGAATGCAATATCCTTACACCTACTCTATATAATTTAATTCCTATTATTTGTAGAGTGCTTTATATTTTTGATTTCTCTTAGATGGGTAATATTGACGTAAGTTAAATATGCTAGAACGGCATAGAATCCGCATATGTATGAAAAATATATACAGCAGGTACAAGCGATAAAAGATATCATAATAACTCTGTTAAAATTGTCGCAAAAACAATATAAAAAAAAGGAAAACAGAATGCATAAGATTTCTTCACGTATGAAAATGCAGAAGAAATTCATTAAATTACTATGTAAGGATATAAAAAATTTAGTTTAAACCTTAACCACACAATATATATAGCACATTTCCGATTATTATATACATATAAATAACTATAAATATAACTGTAAACTGAAAGGAAAAGAAATCATATTATATATTTAACAACCCAAATTATTGTAGCACGTAACACATACGTACATACATAAGTAGTACATGGCAATTGGAGTCGCAGGCAAATTAACCACATTTAATGTAATATTGGTCGAAAGTAATTTTGAAAGTGAGGAACTTTAAATAAAAATGATTGAATAATATACAAAATCACGCCTTTTTCAATATATAGGAATGCACACAACAATATAAATTAAAGGCTTTACACCGTTCTATTATATATCCCAATAGAATGGAACAATTTGGAAAGTTTGTGTCAAATTAGAGGGGATCATGACTTTGGGTATGATTCGCATCGTTATGTTGATCTAATTAGTTTTAGGGTCGAAAATATAAAAATATTCGTTCGTAGCATTTTATACCCTGTATGCGAAAGTTAAAAAGTGTTTATTAAGTTTGCGCAAAGTTTGTAACAGGCAGAAGCAAGCGCCTCCAATCCCATATAGTATTCTTAATCAGCATTGCGAGATTAATCGTTATTGCGGAGGTTATTTGCGAAAAAACTGTTCGCCCCTAAACTGGGGCAGCGGCTTCGCTCTTCTTCTTTTTGCTTCTGCTATGAGTTTTTTGGGTACTGGGCATTAAACGGATTATTTAATATTCAAACATAAACATTTAGTCAGAGTCTTCATCTAGCAGTATTTGTGCAAATATAAAATATCTTAATAATAATGATTAGTATTTGAATGTAAAATATTATAGAGAAGCATTTTGAATATCGCAACTGTTCACAAAGCTCAGTGGCTCTTAGCTGCACAAACTGCAGCTGCTCTGAAACTGTAAGCCCATGCGAGTATTTCATTATATCGAAGCCAAAGCTTTTTCTTTGGTACTCGCTCTCGCTGCCACTCTCGTTGTGTGCCTCTAAAACGCGCCCCAGTGTTGTGTTTTTTATATTCTTGTTGGACAATTGTCAACCGAGACTTCAGTTAGTTGGCAGCAGGGGAACCGCGTAAACGTTTTTCTACAGGGTTAGTGTGCCAAGCGCCTGCCTCGTGCGTTTTTACGCAGACTGTGTACTAACAACAACAGCAGCAACACACAACCACCTATCGTGTATAACGAAAAAAGGAGAAAAACGGAAGTGAAATTTTTATTTTTATAAGGTGCGCAAAAAAGTAATTGTAATGTATTGCAGCTTGATCCCCTGATGCCTAAAAGTACAAAACACCATATGTATGTAAATACAAAAGAAAAGGCAAATGTAAAGAGTGTGACGGTGTCTGAATTACAACATGGGCAAGGCGTATATTAATAATTGAATAAATTGTGAAACCTTGAAATTTGCGCATCGAATCAAGAGTGAATGTGAATTAAATTTTTCTAAATGCAAAAAAAGAATACATATTATTTTAGATGCGTGAATTGAAAAAAATGAGGAGTGACAGCGTTTAGTCGTGCGGATGTGTCAATTTGTATATTATATTATATGTACATACATATGCATGTATGTATGTACTAGGGCTTTAGCTGTACTTACTTACGGATATTTGCTAAAAAGTTTCCCTGGCTTTATACATACATACATATGCATATAGAATGTACGAGTATGTGTATATATGCACATACCAACATATATATATATAATACGAGTACCGTTTTTTAAATTATTCTTTTGGCATAGCTGTCTTTGAAAAGTCTGTATTATATTACGGTCAGATTAGGTCATTTTGGGTTTTCATGGCAAGTGGTTGTTGGCCTAGTCGGCAGCTCCATATGTATGTATGCATAAACGTATGTACATATGTATATAGATACATATGTATGTATTTATGTAGGTCCGAATTACTCGCACATGGATTTTAACATCCACAGAACGTGCTAAGATTACTGCGTAAAGCATCAAGCGTTGGAAAGTAGACTTAACTTATTTTACGCATTCTCACAAACTTCGCTGAACATATCCACGCGCACAGGTACATAGTACAAGTTAAAAAGCTAACGCGTCGTCAATCAACACGTTTTTATTAAAATAGGAAATTTACTTAATAATGCTTTCTGGCGAGAACCAATAACAAAGTCAACGTGAGGCGTACATACTTAATAATAACCGCCAAAGGCAAGACAACAACATCAACAACAATGGCAACAAAATAAAGTCAAGCACAGCAACAACGTGTTTGCAATGCGAGAATGCGAGCGAGCGAGCGAGCGAACACTCTCATTGGGTTAAACGCGTGCGTGAGTAATATACTAAATGAGAGCGAGAGAGTTGGAAAGCTTTTGGTTGTCATAAAACAGCTGATTTCAGATCTAAAATGCATCCTTGCCCTTGTGGTGGTGAGGCCGGTGTCAGGGTTCTACAATAACAACAACAATAGAAAAATGGGGACAATCTGTGAAGTCACTGACAACAGCCATGTATTTAATGATGTGTAACAAAATAGTGCCTTTTAAAAATGATAAATTATGATACGAACAAGATATAAACTACAATTTAATTTAATTTCAAATTAAATATAAATTAAAGTTTGTTAAAAAATCATCATATTATTTTGTTAATGGATAGTTAATGTGGCTCAAAAGTTTGCACTTACTAATTAACGGTTTTGTGCGCCTGCACATTGTCTCGCCCAACCCTCGTTCTTCCCGAACTCTGAGCCTGTCCCAGCGAAGAGTACGGTTGCGCCGAAGTGCAGCCGAAAATGCAAACTCTTTGTGTCCATGTTATCGCATCATCAATAAGAACTTGCATGGTCATTCAAGAGATACCCAGCAGCAGCATCAGGTGTATTTTTGTGCCTTCCTTCAGGACTTTTAGCTGAACAGACCGCAATACCTAAACGAGCGGATCAAATATAATTATTTTGAGTGAACGAAAATGTAAACAGTTCAAGTGAATCCAGTTAAAACTTTAGATTTTCTTTAACAAATGTCCTTAATAAATAAATTGAAAAAGCCCACACCAGCGCCGAATTGGTGTATTGTGATTGAGATAATTAAATATCGGACGACACGTATAATCCAAGTTAATTAGCTTCAACATTTCAATATTTAGTGAGTATTTCATCTATTGCAGCCGCATTTGTTGCTCATATCCAGGGTCACAGGTGCTGTAATTGGATCAGCTGAAAATACCTACACCTACACCACACTTAAGTGCATCAACTCAATTAAAAAGGTAGGTAAATGGATTTGAAGAGTTAATAAATGAACATGTAAAAAGTTGATAAGGGCGGGCATATATACAACGTCTGTGAATAAGTGGTAAGAGAGGTACATAAATATCACTTCAGTCTAAAAATTAAGATTTAAAGATTTATACGGAATCAGGGCTGTAAATACTTTTTTCTTCTTTATTTTTCATTACTACAATATTTTGAATTAACAAATTATTTAATAGTTAGTAAGACAGATTGAAAATCTGGTATTCCGCTCAACACTTATAAACAATTCAGCTAAAACAAAAAATAATAAGGAATATTATGATGTGTAAATCCCTATAGTTTATGTCAATTTTCAATTATTTCATGATTTTTTAAAATATCTTTATAGAAAGGCGACATATTTTCTATGTAATATGGGATGTTTATTTTTTTATGAGCACTTTTTCGTCGTACTTTAAGAGATTTTGTTTTGTATTTGTTGTTTAGCACTTCGCTACGACCTAGTTCGACATATTCATGAAATAGTTGCCTTTGGATGTACATACATAAACTTATTACCATTTGTGTACATTTAGATGTAATAGGTTTGGTCCCCATTATCTAATTGTTAATGCAACAACCATTCATTACACCTTCATAGCGATGTTGTTTAATAACGGAAGTTTGATGGGCTGGTACCAGAACTATTAAATGGGAAGAAAATAGATTAATGTTTAAAGTTTCATTTGGAGAAGGCCTGAAACTAGGTTCAACCGACCCAGAAGAAAACCACAACCAGTTTTTGTGACTCCAGATCTTATACTTTCCGATATCATTGCGTGTTATTTTTAGGATCTGCTCCACAAGTTGCTTGCATTGTTTCGGAGTGTCGTTTCTGCGCCGCTTTATGAAAAGGTGCTTATGGGAGGTTGAATTCTCTCGGTATTATTAGATTATTATATTGAGCTTAGCTTGTGATATCACAAATTAAACTTGTTTATACGCCACGAACTGCAGGGTTAGGTTTTTTTTTTGGGTTTCTGTAAAAGTTGGCTCATGCTTGCGTATGCATGTGTTGTTTAAATTTTGCACATTTACAATGTCCTTTGCGAATACGGGTCATACATACTTGTACTACTTACATATATAGAGGTAGGCTCGCAAGGTTGTTGTTTTGGGCTGCCTGCTGAACGTTTAGTACAAGGGCGCACTCATAAAGGACATACACATATACAACTGAACTGAAAAAGAAAGTGTTTTTTTCACATTGTGTGTTGAAACATTTATCAGTTGACCCTTGACTTTCATCGAATTGCTTGTCCCAGTAAGTCATGTAATGGATCAACGACACATACATGCATACATACGAGTATACCTACAAATACCTACACACATTCTGTATGGTTTTAAATTTGAACAGAACTTGCTTATCCTTGACGTTTAAGGGTTTCCGTTTCATTTGGCCAATACCAACGCCAATGCCAATGCAAGCTCAAATAGCTGACACGCGCACACACAAATACAAGCCGTCAGACATAAATTACCGCTGCTCGCTTTCCAGCCATTTTATATTCAGTTTATACTCGCATGCACATTCGTGTATGTACATGCATACTTATAGATGTAAATAAGTCGTTAGGATGTGTGTACGAATATGTACTTCTATGTGATTGGTGTTGGTTGTATGCGACTGTTGGCTTCATTTGGCACTATTGTTGTGTGTGTTTCACCTGCATTCCTCGTTAATTATCCGAACTTTTGAACCATAACAGACTTGCTTCGTAATAGTTTTAATATATTAAGTTTTTATACCCTTTACCCGATAGGTGTAAAGAAAGTTTTACAGACGGAAGAATGCGTAAAGAGGTTTAGACGAAAAAAATGAACAAAGAGCTAGCAACACTTTAAAATATTTCGATGCACTTTTGTAAATCCCGTGTTTATTGATTTCTGGAAATGTTCTGTAGTCTCATCATGTTCGATATCGAGAATGAATAATGACCGACTATGTATAGTTATACAAGCAAGCAACAAAAAATTGAAAGAATCTCGTACTGTGTACAAAATGTAGTGCCTATCTCTTATAATCTCTGAGATCCAGGTGTTTATACGGACTCTACTCTACTCTACTGCAATGCAACTTTATGAAGTACACCTTTGTGACTAGTACTCGCATATGCATACCCTAGGCTTTTCAACCGGACACATCCCATTAGTAGAAAATCAATTGATCGAATGCATGACTGTGCATCACCTGAACTAATTACACCTTTGACAACTGTTGACAATAGTCAATGACTCATGCTCCCAGCCGGCCCGTATGTTGCCTCAATTGTTGTTGCTGGCATTGAGCTGGCGGCATTAATTGGCAACTTGATCGATTTCAGAACTGCAATGGCAGCCCTTTAATGCGATAAGCTAAAGCTTATACTTTTATAGACGTCGAAAAATTTGAATTCAATGATGTTAAGGCGAAGTATGTCCTTAATCAAAGTTTATTGCAAAGGATTGAGTAGGGGAGAGTGAAAATGATTGTGCTTTATCTAACTGAACATTTATAATAATAATTATTTCAAATACAAATTTAATTTAGAGTATACAATTCAGAATTATAAGCAATATAGAGATAAACAAAAAACAACAAGCAATTTAAGGAACAATTTAGTTCACTCTTTGTTGAAGCAACTGCGCTGTTCTTAGTAAAGGAAGTTATACAAAAGATATTCTGGTATCCTTTCATTATACAAGTACATTCAGCCTTATTACACTTTCAACAACGAATTTTGATTCTCTCTTCATAAACTTTCAAAACAGACAGCGATGTGTTTGCCAGTTTTCGTAACAAAAACCTGACAACTACATGGATAATTTTCTTAAAATTCGGTTTTGAGTATTTGCATTATTTAATTGCAAATCACTCGCAAAGAGCAATTTGGTTATATTATGTGTATGTTGTGGTCTCAACATTGAATTGTGGGTCATATGTACATACATAAGCATTTGTATTTTTGTATGTACTCAACTATTTAAACACCTCTGAACGAGGAATGAAACGCAGTGACGAATTTTTTCAAAACATTTTGCAACTGTTGGGCTTTGTAATGCTCTTTCCAGAATGAAATAAGAATGGAAGGCTAGAGTCGATTGGGTCCAACTCTTAAATACTCTGTATATTCTTACAAAAAAATAAAAAAAATAAAGCAATTTAAAGCACATTTGAAATAACATTAAATTGATATCACGGGATTAGTAAATAAACAAATATATGTACAAATATGTATCATACTTACATATGTACGTGTAAAATATTATGTACAGTTTTAGTTTCAATGCGTGTGTGGAGAAATCAGTAGAATCTGGGTGCCGGTTAGTTCTTATTCTTTATCATTGAATCCATACATGGTGGTGCTGACGCTTTCGCCACTACATGGTCTGTCCGTGGTGATGGACACACGCGTGTATGTGTATCAACATATTATGTGCTGATGTGTTTTTGTGGCAAACGCTTAAACCGCAACGTGCCGGTGTGAGAGCAAACACACCTACATACATTCATAAAAGTATAAACATGCCTGTATATGTCAGATGCAGACATTTTTGTTTCAATGCCGGCTGACATTGAACTTGCGCGTGCAAGCGTATCACAAATCAAGGTCCCATACATACATATACTATACATTTATATCCGCACATACATACATACATAGAGACATAGCGCCATCAAAAACATTTTGCAATAATTTGTTTCATTTTCCGAATGATGTCTCAGTTTCGACCCCCGCACCCAATGCCAATGTGCTACGTTGCGTATACGCAATGCAAGCTACAGGTACGCTGCCATGTCAGTTGGCTACGAAACCTTTTGCTTTTTACACACACATACACACACATACCTGTCGCACTCACAATATGTACATTTTAAGAAACACTGAAAGCAATTTATTGCCAAGACATATTGTGCCAAGACATATTGAATGCACATACAAATATACATACATACGAGTACATACTCGTACACATAGTGCATTATCTGGTTTATTTATTTGTTAAACTGAGGGTGCGAGTATGTTTAATTCTTATCGGTGCTGTGTTTTGTTTTGCTCTCTATTTCGGCGCAGATTTCTTCCTATTGCTTTTGTGCACCGACTGCAACGATGTGCATAGAAATAATTTTTTATGAATTCACTTTTCATTTGAATTTCATTGTTCAGTACGAATGCTTTGGGATTTGTGAATTGTATGTTTAAATAAATACCTACATACATAAGTGCATTTTTTTTTTAATAATCGCTACAGTCACGTATCGTGAAATACATATTAACGAGCGCGTATTTTTAGTTACGATATTAGTTTTATTTTTGTTTGGCATTGAAAGAGATGCGCATACATTGCTTTAAATATGCTGGACGAGTGTTGTAAGTGTTATAAACGTTATAATGATGTAACAAAAATTGAATCTGGTGTGGCATTGAATGAATTTATATTTATGCCTTCACTCGGCAGCAACAGCAGCATCTTAAGGATGATCAAATCGGACAAAGAGAGCGCTAGTGGAGGTGGCAGTGGTGCACCAACAGCCACCACTGGATCTGGACCGAGTCGCAGACAGGTGCATGCCACAGGTGGCAATCGAGGAGCGACCATGGGAAATGTTGTTGGCTGGCTTAAACAGGTTTCTGAATATAAACACTTTAAGCTGGATAGATAGATCAATCCAATGTTGTGCTGTAATTATCAAACACAAACAGACGAGCAATCCCAGAGCATAGTCACCGACGATGTGCACACCTACAGACAGACACTAACTATCAATCCTACATATAAATAGTACATCATCGCAATGCTTCCGAGAACTTACTTGTTTGTTATTCGTTGTGCTGCAACTTCAACCCACCTTGACGCTAATTAATCTGCACTGCCAGTTGACATTAAGCACCAATCACAACACAGCTTTGTATTCCCTTTTTATTAATTTTTTTTTTTTTGCCTTGAAATGCAGATAAATACTAAGTTTTACTTCATTTGATGAGATGTAATTGCTTAGTTCAACAAGTAGGTACAATATCTGTAGTTTACTTTTTTCTGCCTGTTATAAATGAATCTTATTTGAATATATTGTATGGAAGAAGGTATGAGGCATTCAAAAAAAGCCGCAATTTCATTTGAATAGCTATGTATGTATTCGCATTTAAATGTAATTAATTGGATTCTCTGGAAAAATAGACTGTACGTGTTGTACGATTTGGAAAATTCGCAGAAGTGGTTAGTTGATATTATTAGAGTGCGAGTAAATTGAGAAAATTCTCAAATCAGTTGTATTGAAGGTTGTATTAAGTTGGCTTAAAGAGTTATCTGCATTTTAGGAACTTGGTTTGTTTTTCCCATTCAGTTGCTTACTCCTCTTTGTTCAAATACCCGATCATTTAAATGAATTCCCTCTTTGCTCTTTCCCTTTTTCTGTGTCGAATGCCTTGTACTTTCCCTGCCTTCATAAGAATTATTAAGATATTCTACTATACACACACACACATGTGTATATACATATATTACAGGCTTCCATAGAGGTTCGCGACGCCGGCACACGCACTTTGTCTCTACTTCAAAGCACCAATCCGAATTTTCGCTCCCTGGACTTGGCCCTAAATTCGACCGTAGCCGCATCCGCGACCGATACTCCTATTTCGTGCATTGGAACGGCTGCTTCGGCTGCTGGCTGCATAGGCATCGCCTACGACGACGAGGAAGGCTACGGGACCGGGACCGGGACCAAGTCGTTGACATCGCAGAACGCCCAGAAAGTGCTTACACGCTCGGCACGCGCCTACGCCTCCGTTAGTCAGCCACAGAGTCCGAGGCACCAGGTGCGCGGTACATCAAATGGTTTGACCGGACGGTCCACATCTATTTCATCGCAATTGGAGCAGACAAAAAAGATATTAAAGATGACGGAAGGGGAAGATAAGCCGCTTACCATATTACACTACAATGATGTCTATAACATCGAGTCTATGAACGAACACGAGCCAGTTGGTGGTGCCGCACGTTTCGCGACCGCAATGAAGAGCTACGCTCATCTCAATCCCCTGGTTCTCTTCAGTGGTGATGCTTTTTCACCCAGTATGCGTAAGTAGCCGATTGCCCATATACATATAGTACTTATTGCGAATCTAACTTGGCATTTAACCTATCTATCTATGCAGTGAGCACCTTTACCCAAGGCGAACAGATGGTACCTGTCCTCAATCATGTGGGCACAGATTGTGCCGTCTTTGGAAATCATGACTTTGGTATGAATTGATATAAACCACTACGTCACTATAGAGTATAGCCACACATAATACAAATGTTCCTTCATTATAATTTGCTGATTGTCCATTAGGACAGATTGCTAATAGAAGACATCTGTTAAAAAAAAAACCATAGAGTATATTTATTTATGAGAACTACTATGTAAAAAATGAAAACAAAGTAGGTAGAAATTTCTGGTTTCATGGATTTACGTTGAATTGCATACAGGGTGCGCCATCTTTTATGTCGGTATGTAAATATTGAATAACTTTGTCATTAGTGAACCGATTGACTTGAGTAGACCAGTGCTGAAAACCTCAGTTCACGAAATTGTACAGAACCAAATTAAATAAAAATATCTCATACTTGAAAATCGGTTGTTTATTTTCAAAGTTATTCAATGTTTGCATACCGACATAAAAGATGGCGCACCCTGTACATTATGCACAATTTTTTTTGAAGCAAGAGCTGCTTTTACATAGCTTGCATAAAGAGTGGGACAGAAATTGACTTAAGAATTACTCTTCTTTCTCAACAGATCACGGCTTGGACGTGCTAGTCAATCTCATCAAGAAGACGGACTTCCCTTGGCTGATGTCCAATGTTGTTGACAACGAGACCGGACGTCCGCTGGGCGGTGGAAAGATTTCCCACTTCATTTTGCACAATCAAATCTCGATCGGCTTGATTGGGCTGGTTGAGCGCGAGTGGCTGGAAACCTTGCCAACGATCGATCCCAACGAGGTCACCTACATCGATTTCGTAGAGGCCGGCAATAGGCTAGCGGCCGAGCTCCGCCACGAGGGCTGCGATCTGATTATAGCCCTCACGCACATGCGAACGCCGAACGACAAAATATTGGCAACCATGTGCAATGGCATTGATATCATACTTGGGGGACATGACCATTTGCGCGAGGTAACCGAGGCAAATGGTAAGAAGATAATCAAGTCTGGAACAGACTTCCAGCAGTTTTCGGTTATCACGATAAAGCGGGACGAGAAAAACCGTAAGAAGTTCACCACAGACGTCCATTGTGTTGATGTCACAAAAAGCGTGCCAGAGGACCCGGTTTTGAAGCAAGAGCTCTCGAAGTACGCAAGTAAGTCTTTAGTGGATATATAATTCTTCACAATGCCGGTGGATCCTTATCCCAGCTTTTTTTCTTCAGAGTTTATAGAGAGTAAATTATCGGACGTGATGGGCATATTCAGCGTCGAATTGGAAGGCCGTTTTTCCCATGTACGCACCCAGGAAACGAACCTGGGAAACTGGGTGTGTGATGTTGTGTTGGCTGCCGTTGGTGCAGATGTTGTTATATTAAACGGTGGTACCTTTCGCTCGGATCGACGGCACTCACCGGGACCATTTACCATGGGGGATCTGGTTAACGTAATACCCATGCGCGATCCCTTGGTTCTGTTGGAAGTTTCAGGCAAAGTATTGTGGGAGGCCCTGGAGAACGGAGTTTCGGCATATCCCAAGCTCGAAGGACGTTTCCCCCAAGTTGCGGGCCTTAGTTTTGCATTTGATCCACAGAAACCACCTGGCGAACGAATTGATCCACAACTCATTCAGGTGGGCGACGAGTATCTCAACCTATCCCAGATGTACAAGCTTTGCGTCAAGAACTATTTATATATGGGATGTGATGGCTATAACATGTTTCGCAATGCCAAAGTGCTGGTGAGTATTCTAATTGGATAACTTTTTTAAGATACGATATTTGTGGAATTGTATTATATGCTATTACATGATCTATTAGTGCACTATTGTATACGCGCAAGAGCAGATCTGCCAGTAGTTGTTTCTATTACATAATCCCGAAACTACTTAGTTCAAAAGCATCCATTTATTACCCCATTGTTTACCAAGCGGGTACCATCGTAATTATTCAAAAGCATCACGTCCTGAAAAGTTATAGACAAAGATTAAATTTGTGGTCATAAAATCGTCAAATCTGTGAAAGCATTATCTTTCGGTACAGGGTATAAAATTGCTTGACATACCCAAGTACTTATACGAGTAGTATTATAATATACCGTCACGTTATATATATAATATATATCACGTTAAGCACATACTATTTACATATTATATATTGAAATTGTTATTTTGCAGATGGATGATGACGCCTGCCCGGAGCTGGGGATTACTCTCAAAAATCACTTTAGGGCTATAAACTCTCGTAAATGCGGTCAAAATACCAAACATCGTCAGTCACTGGTCACGCTTTCCAGACGTCACAGTCTAGTACAATGTTTGGACAACATGGACCTAGATGGTCCGTCCCCCATTCGCAAGCTGTCCGTGGGCAATCACAACAAGTCCCTCGACCTAAGCCATGGAAATTCGCAAAAGGTGAGAGGTTTCCTTTATGTGTTACAACCACGTTATAAAAGACACCAACACCTTGTTTAGATGTTACGGCGAGCCTCATTAGATGATTTGGAGCAGTCCTCTTGTGAGCTGGCACCGCACTTGGAACATCGTATTGTAATGATACAAAATGTTGAGGTAAGTGCTAATAATGGCAGCCTAGTCAGTTCTAACAATGCTCCCTTCTCAGCATTATCGTCAGCTGTTGTATAAGAAGGAATCTCACATCATGAGCTCAACTATTACGGAAGCGGATGATGAGTAATGTCGTGATCTTGTACAATTTAAAGAAAAAGGAAGATATTTTGATAATAGTTTCGCATTTATTTTTTCTTGTTTTTAGTTAAAAATGTAGGACATTCGAGATATTAGGGAATTGTGGAGGTGGCAAGAGACATCCATATACATACGTATTTAGAAAGGAACATCCTATCTTAGTTAGCTGATTGACTTGTTATTTACTATATATACGCACATTTTACTATTCTTCATTAATTTATTTAACGATATGTTAACGAGAACTATTTCCAAGGGCCTTCCGCTTGCTATAATTATTGTTATAATATTTAATTTGCTAAGTTTTTTAAAGATTTTGTAAAGTTCAAAATTATAAATTACTTATATTATGTATAGAATTTGTATGATAAGAACAAACTAAATTAGATTTGCGAAAAGACGAAAACAGATTAGGTATCAATAACCTGATTATTTTATAAAGCCGAGATCGAGCAGAGCTTTAATTTTCTACTACGACGCACGTAATATGGTTCTCTCAACCATAATCAATCGAATTTTGTAAAGCATTTTCTGGAATGAGTCAGCACCGGAATTTCTGGACAACATAAACGAGCGCCTATTTATGATATGTGGAGTAGTAATTCATTATATTAGCACAGCCCGCTTTAATCAAAAGAGATAGGGAGAGAGAGCGTTTCAGTCATAAGCATGAATTTATATATATATGTATGTATATAAATTGGAAAACTGTGAACGATATTTGTGAGGCACAATGTTACTAAAAAAGATTTGTTAAGCAACAATTAAGCAAGTAATGGAAAGCAATATTTTAGAAAGGAAGTGAATTCTGGTCATATGTTCGAGTATATACCTGTGCATATTTTTATGAGACTTTTAGAACGAATTGAAACGCTGGGCAGTTGAAAACGGACAAACAGAACAGATTTAAAATTCATGCATATTGCTTATATAAGAGAAATCGGAGAAAATATTGAATATTTTAAAAATATATCTAAGAAAAACAGAATAAAACCATTTGTATGAAGAATTACAGCTATTTACATAAAACTCTTTATATATGTATGTATGTATACAATTTATTGGGTGAAAAAAAAAACAACAGAAAATAAGAAAAATGTAAAAAACAAGTTAACACAAATGAGAACATCTACACTAAAATATGTCAGAGTTGCATAAAAAGGGAGACCTTCTAAATGTAATTTTAAAAACGATATAACACAAATGCAGTTCCTTCAGATTGTACAACCGCGGATATATAATATAATAGTGTGCTATTTAGAATGAATGTAAAAACTGTTGAACAGTGTACTGGAATGCTTAATCAAAACTAGGTGTCCATTCCTTTATCTGCATTAGAGCACAATATTGCGAGTTAAATATATGTCCATACTTATAAGTTAACAAAGGCGTCATGGAAGCAAAAAGAAACGTCCAATAATGACTTCATAATGATTCGAAGAAACGCTTATAAAGTTTGCTTCCCTAAAATGTAACTTTTTGTGTGTTGCAGCGTTTTCTTCAATTCTCTACTGCTTTATCATAATCATGTAAAAGCTATTGTTATGGATCTTCATACATCTATGCAGTAATGTGTGCTTATTTATCTATAATAAAATCCGTGTACCGTTAATACAAATACATATTAAAATTAATATATGTATGTGTTTAAAATTGTGCGACATGTGGCGAAGAATTAGTACTCGTATTGAATAAATAATCTGCTCTATTCGATGCAATTCATGAAGATTCCGTTTTTAAAAATACTAGCGTGTTAGAAACTAATCTATGAAGAAAGAGTGTGTGACCACAGATGTACATAATTCTGATCAGCATGAAGAGACCAATCGATACAGCAATGTCCGACTTTCTGTTTTAATCAACCCTGCCTCCCTCAGCTGTTTTGACCTTAAGGGATATCATACTATTATTTTTTAAGGAAACACGCATACTGCATTTATTGATCGATAATAAAATATAGTATTAATACAAATGTACTATATGTTCTTTAAACATACCTATAAAAATGTGATTATGGAAGCATTTTGTTAGTTGGTGGGCACAATTTTGGATTAGAATTGGTTAATACTAGACTGCGATTAATACAAAATGCATATAACATCTTCAAAAACTTTGGGATCTATGGTATACATATCATGTCTTTAATAGAATTGCAGAACCAAGGTTTTTATGCCACTTGCAATGTGAAATGCCGAGTTTCGCACCTCCACCGTGTTCTTTAGAATGGCCGTTTTGTCGTCAGCTTCTATAGATTTCTGTAGGTTCTCACATTCGTGCTGTATAAGGATGTTGTGACGTGTAAGTAGCTTCAGTGTTTCACGAGTAGTTTCGTTGGCGTTGGGCGGCTGTTAGGTGGTTCATAAGGCATATAATAAATATATATTTGGTTCTAAAATTGATTATATTTTGAAAATGTTACCAAATTCGCATAGAGCGCTATCAGATCCGTGACTGCGTTGCGTATGCGCTCGCCATGTAGGGCTACTGATTGCTTTTGATCCTCCGGCCCCGGTTGCATGGCCAGTATCAGACCTTTTAAGCAACGAGTTGCCAAATCCGATCGTACCTTCACTTCTTCACCAAAAGGTTTTCCATCTCCAGCCATTTGGTACATGCTCGTTGTGTTTCGTACATCGTTGTTTCCTTTGGCAAAGGTAGGTGCGATTCGTCTTTCGTACATACTGGCCGGCCGCTTGATTGTCGACTGATTCGATGACGATGCATTTGAAGTGCTGTCAGCGGAAACAACAGGGGCGCTGCTGCCTTCTGGCAGAGATAGTGGCTCATGATCTGTATCGGAACTGTTCAGATCAATCCGACTAAATCAAAAGATAAGCCAAAACAAAAAAATAAAAAAAAAAAACAAAGATAAATAAACAAAGAAAATAAATAAATAAATAAATATATTGCGAGCTCACAGTGGTTCATCATATATGCTGGTGTTTGATGTAAATTTTGATTTCAGTTGTGAGTTTTCGGTTGACAGTTTCTGCACAACGTTCTTCAGCTGATTTATTTGCTTGCGCAAAGTCTCCACAATGGCCTGTTAAGTCCGCACAAATAAAAAAGAACATAATTAGAAAAACATAAAATTATATGTAAACTTAAACTAAAGAAAGGGAAACGTAACAGCGTTTATTTAAACTACACATTACGATTGCGAAATTATCGACTACTTTTATTTAAATCTTAAAATTGGCTAAAAAGCTTATGAATTCTTTTGGTGTCTAATGCATGTGAGGGATAGCTACATTTATAAATATGTTGTATGTTAACGCGATGCTTATGATGGTTATACAATACTTTTATGCATATGATGTTTAAAAAATGATGTTCGAAACATTTGTATGTATATGTACAAATATGAACAGATGGTAGACCAAGCAAGCTTACACTCTACCCGAAGCTATTGTTTAACTTTAGAATTTTTTGGCGCATCAAGTTTACCTGCTGCGCCATGGGTGGCATATAGTCATCGTCGCTGGCCACCGGATCGTAGATGGGCTCATCATCGGACAAATTCGGATCGTGCGCTTGCTCGAACGAATTAAACAAAGCCGAATTATTATTTGAAAATATACCCGATGTCGGCTGCGGTTGCGCTGCGTGTGCATCTAGGGGACGTAAATTTGCCATATTCTGGCGACGTATCGCATCGGTTAGGACATCAGTTAAAAGTCCAGCGAATTCAGCGCGATTGAAACGTGCCAGTTTCTGACGACCCTGCAAAATACAAATCGTTTACATCTCATTCTATGTCACGTAACTACGTTTTAATGTCAGACACTAACCTGATTGCGAGTTGCGCTCAAAAATGGATTAGCTGGCAGAAATGGCACAGTTGCGTGATCAGCATTTAAAGTGCTGGTGGACCAAACTGCAAAATATAATAATAATGTTTATATGTATTATTCACGTTTCTGCGTTCTTTGGACTTTATTTTACTCACTGGCTTCGCACTCCCGCCTGTCTACTTCGTCATATAGGTCCATTACCAGCTCCTCAAACATTTTATTGGGAACCAATTGCAGCTTGCCACGAGCTATTTTCAATTGCTCGCTTATATCTGCGCTATTTGGCTCGGGCATGATGAAATGACGGCCACTCTATTGTTAAAATTCATGATATATTGAATTAGATTCATTGGGCTTTCCCTACTTACAGCATGATCGGGCTTCTTGCCTCCTAGAAAAATGATGATTCTATCGGTCACATCGTACATGGCATCCAGCAAGCGCTCGGCAATAGTATTATGGTTGTTAGCCTTGGCGAGCTCCAGTGGCGTGTTGCCATTTCCGTCGAGAGCATTCACATCGGCACCATACACCAACAGCATTTCAATTTGCGAAGCCTGTCCAAATTTAGCAGCTACATGCAGTGGAGTTGAGCACTTCTCATCATGATAGAAGTTGGGATCGGCACCTTGCACCAGGAAGCGCAGTGAAGTCTCCAGATTACTGGTCCGTACGCTGGCATGCAATTGCTTACTGAGCTCCTGCTCCAGATTGCTGCTGCCGCTACTAGAATCATCATCCTCCTGTAGACTTGGCTTCAGCACAAACGTCAAATTTACGTGTTTGGCCTTAATAAAGTCCGATTTAGTCGGATGGAGTGCATCTTTGGGCGTGGGTTTGCGCCAACGTGTGCCATGCTTCCCACTTGCAGTATTAGTGTTCCCATCGAGAAGATGCTCCCACACGCTATTCGCGCCATGAGCATTCAGTGAGTTTACGAAATTCAGTACCGATGGTTCCCAGTTTCCTTGACGCAGCGACTTCACGATCGATATATGCCGCCCCAGACTGCGATGCACGGAACAGCAATCGGCGCACAACAAGATGCCGCGGTTAATGGAAGCCCAAGATGGATCTGTGTATAGGAAGAATACTATAAGTACATATCTCAACAAAAAATGCCAAGAATTACAGGTAATATAGCTTTGAATTCGTGATTAGTGCGATATTTATCAACAAGAAAAAGATCTGCAGCTTAATTTATTTACTTTTCTTATTTGATTAGAAATTATTTGACTGTGGATAGCTATGTCCTGTGGACATTTTGTTTTAATAATGGGATAATTGTTGTAAATAACAAATATAGATATAATCCTCTACAGTGCCTTAGAATAGCGGCTCAGCGTGCGTGAACGTGATGCCTTTTATTTTTCACGCGCACAACTCTTATGTTTGACTTACCCGTTGCTCCACAATCCCCACACACATCCGTCTGCAATCGAGATTTGTTGCGCGGCATTTTCTGGGCAGTCTTGCGAGAGTTCAATATGCCACTGCTGCCACTTAAGGGCGTGGAGCTGTCGTTAACCTCTGGCGGTGCTATAAATAACTTTTTATGCGCTTCTATTATACTGCTGGCGAAACACATTCCATTTTTTTCATAAAGGCCTGGTGCAGTGATAAAATGTTAGATACATATGTACATATATGTAACTCAATGCAGTTAGTTAGCTAGACACAACGGATAAATAAATGATTACGCGAAATGTCGTGTTGATTAGGATGCGGACTTGCACTTGCCTACGCCAAACGAAACTAATTCAACCAATTACGACAATTATGACAATGAATCTCAATGAATAGATTCCCGTTTGTTAGTAATTCTCTAGTGATGGCACAATTAGTGTATTTACATATGTACCTGTTACTTTGTCACAGCAGCGACAATGTATATGTATGTACTTTTCTAATATGTTAAAGAGTATACATATTTATTGTTTTAAAATAACATGTCTTTTTTCTCTTGCATACATTTTTACCCGAAAAAGGCAGAAAGCAATATTTGACAGGACCGTTCAAATTTTTGCCATTGAGGACTGACATTAGCTAAAGATAAAAATACCAAACATACCAAATGAACAGTGTACAGCCCTGGGTACAACAGCTGTTAGTGGATTTGAAGCACTGGAACTTTGCTTGCACGTGCAAAACAATAACAATATTTAGTGCGGCTCTGTCTTCAAATAAAACACAAATATTGCGCTTAGCATGAACGTGGAGAACCTTTACACATCCGTAGCCTGCAATCGAACCACAGAATGCGCTGATTGGGGTCCGAATGGGTTAATTGCATTTGGCGCCTGCAATGCGATTGCAGTTTTAGATCCTAATGTGAGTTGATTGGAATTTTAAAGAGTTGCTAATACTATTAATTGTTTCATCGCTTGCAGTATAATGGAAATTCTGCCAAGATTCTGCATACTTACGTGCAACACACAAAGCGCATCAATACTGTGAAGTGGCTCGATGGGAATCACTTGTTTAGCGGAGGTGATGATGGGAAAGCCTTTTTGTGGGAATTGGAAACGCCGACGACAGCTACGCCACAGTTTACAGCTCTTAATGGTCATACTGGTGGTGTCAATGCCGTGGACGGCGTGCAGCACATAAAGGGGACGTGGCTGTTAGCAACTGCAGCAGCGGATAGCAGCTTAAAATTGTGGCTGTATGAGAAAAATAGCCGCGCAATCAGCTGCTTTCAAACCATCCAATTAAATGGGGGATTCTGTTTCTCTTTGCGACTCACATTGCTCCCCAAAAGTTGTGATGTACTGCTAGCCTCGAGCGGCGATGATGAGACTATATCGCTATGGACCCCAAATTGCCGAGCTGTGGAAGAAGACTCTACAGCGAAGCAGTTTACCCGCGTTCATAAGTTGACCGGACATGAGGACTGGGTGCGTGGATTAGATTTTGTTCGTGATGGTGAGGATTTGCTGCTGGCCAGCGGTTCCCAAGACAATTTTATACGTTTGTGGCGCATAGCGCCACGCAGTAAAGAGCAAACACTAGAGAATCGTGTAAACATGTTCAATTTGTGCGATCCTGAGAGTGGCGAGATACGAGTCGAGGAAAAGATTCTGCAGCTGGGTGCACAGGCCTGGTATGCCATTAGCTTGGAATCGGTGCTATATGGCCACGAGGGCTGGGTTTATGGTGTGCAGTGGCATAAATCGGAACAACAGGGTAAGTAATGCGAAGCAGTTTCTTATTCCACGCAATCATACAATCTTTGCAGAGCTGCGACTGCTGTCGGGATCCATTGACAAGACGTTAATCGTGTGGGCGCCAACAGAGCATGGTGTTTGGCTGGAGCAAGTTCGCGTGGGTGAGGTGGGAGGCAATTCCATGGGCTTTTTTGGTTGCAAGTTCTCAAGCGACGGCCATTCCATTATGGCCCATAGTTATCAGGGTGGTTTTCATATATGGAATCAAAATCGGGAGCAGCCACAGCTCTGGACCTCTAACGTCATTGTAGGTGGACATTATGGTGAAGTTCGTGACTTGGACTGGGAGCATGAAGGTTCCTATCTAATGTCGGTTTCGGCGGACCAAACAACACGTTTGCATGCGCCCTGGCTGCAATCTGGCAAGTCGTCTACTTGGCATGAATTGGCTCGCCCGCAGGTGCATGGATATGATATGCAAGCTCTGGCTATACTTTCACGTTATAGATTTGCCAGCGGGGCCGAGGAGAAAATTGTACGCACTTTTCAAGCCACAGCTAATTTTATTGAGAACTTTCGACACATTTCACAACCGCCGGGGGATGCGGCAAACGATGCTGTCTTGGACTGTAAGTGAATAGCGACAATTGAATGAGCATTTTTGATAAGAAATGAATATTCGTACCATTAAGCTCTTCCCAAAGGAGCCTCCGTCCCTTCGCTGGGTTTGTCCAATAAAGCTGTTTATAAATTAGAAGCAGACAGCAGCAGTGCAAAGAATACTAAAGACGAATATCCAGATAATTATTTTGTGCCTGTCACGCTGGAAACCCCTCCGCAAGAAGAAACTCTAATGCAAAATACTCTCTGGCCCGAGCTGCAAAAACTCTATGGACATGGCTATGAAATATACGCCTTGGCAGCCACACATGATGGCCAAGTGTTGGCTTCCACCTGTCGCGCCACAAATGCTGAACATGCTCAGATTATACTGTGGTAAGTTAACAACAACTTTTTTTCATGAGAATTTATAGCTTTTCACTTTTTAATGTTTTTGTTACTTTATATCAAAAATTTAATATACTTTGCAGGAACACACAGAACTGGAAGCAATTGCAAAAACTTGGTTGTCATCAATTAACAGTCACGCAGCTGTCTTTTTCACCCGATGCACGCTATCTGCTTTCGGTGTCTCGGGATCGTCGATGGTCAATATTTCGACGTCAGCAAGCGGATCCACTTAGTGGATATGTCCTTATGGCTAGCACAGACAAAAGTAATGGAATACACACACGTATTATTTGGTCTTGCGATTGGTCACATGACAGTAAATACTTTGCTACCTCCTCTCGAGATGGAAAAGTTGTGGTCTGGACACACAATGAGCTGGCAGAAAGCGAAGAAAGCTCTCTGAAAGGCTGGACGGCGGCGCATACACTGGAACTGAAGAATGAATCTATAACAGCGGTAGCGTTCGCACGCACATTAGTTCATGATGCTTACATACTAGCCTTAGGCATGGAAAGTGGGCATATAAAAATATATTGCTTTGACAATGATTCCTTGCAATTGCGCTGTGACTTAAGCAAAGAGTGAGTTTACTGGGATAGCGAATCAGAAACCAGTTCAGTTCTAATGTTTTTTTCATTGTAGCCAAGCTCATCATTTGACCGTAAGGCGTCTGCGATTTCGACCAACCTCTTCCTTTGATGGAGCTGGACAGCGTTTACAGCTGGCAAGTTGCGGCGAGGATCACTTAGTTCGCATATACGACATTGCTTTAACATAAAAATTACTATTCTGTTCCAATTTCCAATTATTCTTTTACTAAAATATCAATCCATCAATTTCAATTTTAAAATACGACAATCTAGATCGATTTGTTTCCACTCGCTTATTCAGAATATACTTTATATATACTGTTTTGTACATTCTTTGCAGGAATTAGTTATACCCTTTTGTTTATGGCGCAGTCACTCGTACCGTTGATAGAGAGTTGAAGCTTGGACATATGATTCCTAGCCTGTACAATATACATAATTGCACATTAATTCATCTATTATTAAATTAAAATATCAGTTTTTGGCACAATATACGAATAAAATGTATTTATTTCCTACCGTTTCACGTTTAAAAATTACGCATTACTGAATAGATACGTTTTAGAAAGTTCAAACCAAAATCTTCGAAGCAACTGCTGTAACCAAGCCAATTACACGGCTGGTTTTTTAAATACACATCTGTATAAGATTTGTTGGTGTTGTTACATATTAGAGTTTAATTAAATTTTTTCATGTGGCCCGGTCGTCGCTCATACTTATCTAATCAAGTGGTTATTGTAATTAGGCATGTTTTGAACTCGCTTGACATGTGCGGCAGCAGCTCCCGGTTTCTGATAAGAAACCACGTAGCCCTAATTATGGCAATTTTTTTGCAGAATTTTTCTGTTACAAATTTAGTATTTAAGTGGCCCTGGGGTCCCAATGAAAGTCACAGTCTTGGTTAATTACTCGACCCAATCAGTCAACTTGTTAATATGAGAGCCGCACTTCTACTCACTTTTTCCGCTTTGCTGGGCACATCATTGGCTTTGCCAGGACCTCCGCAAAAGCATAACCAATCATCGCGACCTATACAGGTTGATCATGAGTCAAAGCCCATTCAGGTGGAAATTGTTGAGCATCCACAGCAAGTGCAGCTGGGAATTGGGCAGCAAGTGAATCAACCGGAGGTCGAATTGGAAATTGTACAGAAGAGGCCTGAATATAATCCAATAGAGCTATCCGTTGTCAAACAGCCTGTCGCACAGGTAGTCGAGATTGAAATGAAGGGACAAGCCGAGAAACAGATTGAGCTGGACGTTGTTGAGATTCAGACACCACGACCTATTCAGGTGAATCTTGTCAAACCAGCTCATCAACATATTGAGGTCGACATCACTAAGCATGCCCCACATCATATGGAAGTAGAAATTGTTAACCCAGCCCCCCACTATGTGGAGGTTGAAAATGTGAAGCCTCAGCTTACCCACCAACATTTTAACGCTGAGCTAGTTAACCATGCTCGTCAGTAAGCACTTAGTTAAATTTGCAATTTCAAAATAAAATATATATAATATATATTTTTGTGCAATAATTAATGTTTTTATAATTTAAAAAAATAACTTTCTCCAAGTGTGCGAGACACTTGGGAAAAAATAATATTTATTTAATGGCCGTCGCGAAGCGTCGTCAACCGCAGTTTGCAATTTCCGGCTGCTTGCGAAGAATTTAGTGAATAGTGCTGCATACTTACTAGCGCGCACGTAGAATTGCTGGCACTTGAAGGCGGGAGATGCCCGAAACGTTGACACGAAGAATGAGCGGGTGGAACTGGCTTTAGATTTAGCTTTAGCTATAGCTGTAGCTGTAGCTATAGCTAACCGCAACTTGCAATTTCCGTGCTTCAACTGACTTTATGATTGCATTGCTGGTGGCCTTGTTGCCGCTGCCGTTGTTACTGCAGTCAAAGGAACGACCTCTGTGGTTGCTGCTCACAGAGCGCTCATGTAATTGAGGCAATCATTCTTTGGGATTTTAATTATGTGTCGATGGTGTACAGTTTTAGTTGCACTGACAATGAGTGCAAGACAATGGACGCTTGACTTTAAGAGCGACGCGCGAGTCTATTGAACTCTGAGCGTTGCCACGGGGGAAATGATGGCGCACGGACACATACATATAGATATATACTATAGATAGGAATATACAACATACATACACATGCAGATACGCGCAAGTTGAATTGTGTTTTATTGCATGCTCTGAATTGCGTTGCCTAAACTATGGAATTGTATTTAAACTCGATCGCTTTTGTTGCCGCTGTTCCCTTTCATTGCTAAAAATGTTTGCGAACAATAACTCCGGATGAGGCGGAAGCGCGTGTATACGAATGCACCGCCTCTGCTCCATCCGCTACAAAGCTCGCACAACGATATTTGCGTTGGAAACTTTTGTTTGACTTGCAATGGAAATGGCTTTTTTATTTATTTTCTTATCCCACATGCGCCAGTGCTGTGGGCGTTGTTTGTTGTTTTTGGCCAACATTGCATTTCATAAGTTTCAATTGCGCACAAAAGTGCGCATTGTGACAAGTTTTCGACAGCATGCATCGAGACAATGCTTTAAATATAGTACAAACCAGTCGATCGCCCCACCAAGGCTCTAGAGTCAGAAAGTCATTTTCTTGTTTTGGCATCAATTTAAAAATGTATGTTCTTCGAGTTTGAAGTGTAAATACTACAAGTATATGTAATTAGCCCATAGGGTCTTTTCTTGTCTTATTATTTAGATTACTTAAACGTTAGGTTATGTGAAAAGTAGCATTTGTAATGTTATTGCTATTGGTCTCGATGCACAAGCCTTGAAAATACTCCCAGGGCCGAAAAGAGGAAATAGGATCAGTTTTCGAAATACTTATAGAGCACTAATACTTTGTGTATATGGCTGTTAAAATTTTATACGCTTCAGAATTAAGCTTATTATTATTTCCAAACGCATTGTTTCTGCTGCATAGGTACCGAACAAAAGTGCAAACTACAACACAACTGCTATAGGGATCTACATCGTATGTGTGTCAGTAGAGCTTTGTAGTTGCGGGCACATTGCCCGAGCCTTTGGCGCTGTTTTTGTTTGAATTGCAATTGAAGCGACATATTTTTGCCTTTTCGTTTTTTCAGCATATGTTGAACTCACATTTCCGCGTTGCGTGCAGCATACTGCGTGTTGCGTGCATGAGTCGGCTTGTTTTGCAACAAAAGCTGTGCATTTATGATTTGTGAATTTCCGTTTTTGACAACGCGACATGCGTGAAAACGGAAGTGCCCGGGACTCCGCCATTGACTAGTGGCTATGGAGCAGCCGTGCATGCAACAAAGTCATTTGATGCGCATTAAGGGCGTGTGTTGAATTCATTTCCAGCCAGTCAATGACCCAGTGGCCAGTTGCAAATTGAAAGCACAGATATTGATTGGAAGAGCGTTTTGTTTAAAGTTTTACTTGATAAGCTGCACAAGCCGAGTACGGAAAGTTTTTCAATTACCTGAGCTGCGTTGGCTTTGCAAGGGAATCGGGCAGCAAATTTTGTCATCCCCTGGGAGGGAAAATCCGAGTAAGTGAAAACCAAGAAGTTTGGGCAGAATGGGGAAAAAAGCAGAACAGGCTTAAGCGTTATGCAAAAATATGGTACGCATGGAAAATTTGGCAAAATAAACATAGAAACATGCCATAAATATGTTGGACCCAAGCACACATATTCCGACATAAGTAGTCCGCAATATGTAATCTGATCGTTCCACAGGTTTACTTACGAAGGGATGTTAGCCCTAACTATTTTCAAATTGGAATTTGAAGTTCATTAACACGGCCTGTTGACGAGGAAAACATCCTATGATTTCTCGTCTTCAAAGGTGACCTTCCTTGGTGATGATATGAGGCTAGGCTTTTTTTAGTTGCCTTAATTGTTATTAGCTTAATTGTACTTATTTAAAGCTGTGATGGTTTTCATTTATATACTACCGGTTCCGCATGTTTCTTTTTCATCTTTCGAAAGTCTTCTTAGCCGTCTATAAATCTTACATAATCAATTGATTTAATATCCAATTATGTATCCTGAAAAAAAGTATTAGTTGTATAACTAGCAGCCACTATATACTGGTGCTTTCGCCACTACGAGGAAAACCCCCATGCGCACCCATGCCTGAGTACCGTTCGATAGTGCGCCTGTGTAAGTGTGTGTGTGTGTGTGTCTGTGTGCCATATGATGAATTTTTAATTGCATGTGCAAGTGTAAGTAACAACTGTTGGCAGCTGCAATTTGTAACTGTGCAAAAAACCGACACTAAATGAAATATTTTTTGTGTCTGCGTACCCACAACCGAGACTTGTGAGATGGGTGCGGAAATGAAAGGCAGAAGGGCGAAGGCAGTGCAAAGTTTTTGCATTTGTTTGCTCTGCTGGCTGCGTTAATTACACAAAACAACAGTGCTAAACTTGGCATTGACAATGGTTTCCGATTGTATAGTATAAATTCAAATTCATGTTCAAAAAGGCGTAATTAAAATTATGAGAAAGATGATCTGCACACTCTTCTTAAACTATATCTTTTGCATCTACAGACAACTTCAGTGATTTTATCATTATTCGATTCGATTGGCATGACTAAAATATTGTGAAGAAGTGATTGTAAAGAGTACAAAGCTTTGGTGTAGATGAAAACATACATAGTTTAGATAAAGCACTTCCCAATCTTCCGTACGATTGCTTTTTATGCAAAAATAATCATGGAAATAATGGACTTGTTTTTGTATTTTTGTAAATACAAATGGGAATGAAAACAATCCAATTGTTTCAGCCGCTGGCAATTTTCAACACTTTATTTTTATGTGCATTTTTTTTCTTCGATCAACAGCCTATTGTGAAGTAAAAGAGAAAAAAATGCAACAGCTGGAAAAAAATAGTGAATATTGTGAAAACAGTCAGCGCTATCAACAGCAACACTACATACATATACAACAACAAACATAGTAATAACTTAAATTCATGCTGGAGTACTAATGACAACAAATTACAACAAAAGGTAAATACAACTCAAATGCAAGTCCAGTCTACAACGAGCTTGTTCACTATTGAACATTTATTCTTTTGGTTTTATTTTGTTTTTACGGCTTTACATACGTTTGTTTATACATAAGTAGCTAATGAATTTTTTGATTAACATATGTGCTACATATATACGTAAGGCAGAAGGGGGACTATAGCGTTAGGGATTTATTTAAATATATACATACTACCTATTTTATTTTGGGTAAAATACACATATGGTTGTAACAAGCCATTAATGAGTGAATGTGCCAGTGTATAGTGGACTTCCATTGGTTATCTGATATGGTGAAATTTTGGGATACCCGCGCAATTTTAATCAAAGCTGTTGAACATGAAACTCGCTTGATACGGAAAGGAAAAAATTGTTTTCAGCCGGCACACAGCCGTCGCCAATACGAAAAAATTGTAGAAATTCGTTTCTCATCCGCAGATTGCGCGCTCTTATTACTATT